CTCAAGGTGACATGCAATAGTGTGGTTATACTACCCTGCAGCTGAAGGATTCATATATTATATAGCCATCAAGTTCTTGCTTGGTCATGAAATGCAATAGGCTGATTCTTTGTCAACAGGGCTCTCTCAGCCGTACTGATCTGGCAAGGATAAGATGGCATAATATTCATGTACAACACCTTCCTTGGAGCAAGACCAGGAATGAACCTGATAAAACAGGGGTGTTGACCCTCCTGGTGCCATTGGGAATCTCCCATCAGTTGCAGCAACCAGCATGGCCAAAAGTCAGAGGTTATAGCAGTTGTAGTGTAGCAACTTCTGGCTGGTTTGCAAACTTGAGTAAAATATTGGGGGGAGGGCCAGGTAAAGCCCCGCCCCATATAATTGGGGATCACATGACACCGCGTGCGCACGCATGCACGCATACACGCACACACACACACTGTTTGAATGGCAATGCCCATCAACTTTGCAGAAGCTCAGCCCTCTCAAATATTTAGGGGGGGGCTGAAGGAACCTCAGCCCCTGGGATTTGGCTGCTATGACTTTGGGGAACATCAGGTCCACCATCCCTGTAATTAAAAAAAAAAAGCTTTTTGAGAATGATTTCTTTCTAGGGCTGTTACCTGATTAAAGTAATTACAGTTGATTAACCACATGAGGTTAATCCATTAAATCCACTTAATGTATATTCTGGTTGAGTTGTGTTGTCTTGGTTTTAACTAATGTTGGGGGTTTTTAGTTTATGATTAATCTGTTCTTATTTGCTGTTTGATATCGTTTTTTATTATAGTTTTTTAAAAGGGTTTTGCTGTACTTATTGCAATCTTGCCTTTGTTACTTTATTGGACACTGCCCTCAGATTACAATGTGATGAAGGTTTTTTTTATATAAAACTGGTCAGTAAATGACAAATAAATAAACCTCTGCAATAAAAAGTAGAGCAATAAATAAAGCAACAATTCCGGAGGGGAACACATATTTTATGTTATTTTTTCAAAACTACTGTGCACATTTATTGCACCCACAATGAAGTCAGTTGGAAAAGGCATTCCCTTCCGCATGTGAGATGTGAGGGCCGCTTCCAAAATCTGTAATTTTACGTTATCATTATCATTATCATCATCATCATCATCATCATCAATGCATTATAGCGTCACTGATTTAAATGGCACCCTACAGAATATAAACAGGACAGGTCTCTGCCTCTATGAGCTTGCATTCTGAACCAGCAGAGGCAAAATAGGAGAGGCAAGGGACTAGGGTCTAGGAGAGCAGGGTTCAAATCCCAACTCAGCCATGATGCTCACAGGGTTGTTGTGAGGATATTAACAGCTACCATACGAACATGCATGCACCAGAGCTAGGGTAGTATAGTGGTTAGACTGTTGGAACTAAGACCTGGGAGGCCAGGTTTCAAATCCCTACTTAGCCATGAAGCTTGCTTGGTGGTTTTTGGCCAGGCACTGGCTCTCAGCCTAACCTATGTCATCAGGTTGTTGTACAGATAAAACACAGGAGAGAACTGTCTACTTTGAGTTCCTTGGAAGAAAAATAGACAATAAATTGAATAGAAAGTTGTTTTGGTGTATGTAGTACAGAATTGTCTACAATGACTAGCAGTAGCTCTCCAGAACTCCAAAAAGGGTTCTCTCCCAGCCATACCTGGAGATGAGAGGGATTGAACCTGGGACCTTCTGCATAGGTGCTCAGCACTGAGCTACAGCCCTTCCCAAGAAAATGCTTTGCAAGTATTTTATGAGTACTTCTATAAAAATAGTTCTAAAAAAGAAGAACCTACCTGTGTGTGGGAGAGAGTTTATAGATTTAGTTCTTATTCTTATTCATCGCTGAGGATGGCAGAATTCATTCTGTACTTTCTCCCACACACATTATAAGCCCACAACTGTTTTAACCAGCTCTCCCGCCGCCAACCAAGTTCAACTGCTAGACTCCCTCCCAGCCAGACTTTTCAAGAGTTTGGTGTTCAATCTTATATGACATTGTGAAAATGAACTTTGTGAAGGTCCAGTCAACCTGAAAGTGCCTCATACGTGAGACCCAGGATGACTTAACTACAAATATTTGTTCCATTATTTTCACCTTCATCACTCCTTTTCTGCGACCCTAATACTCCCCTCCCCCAAGCTTCTTATTTTTATTTCACTTCCATTAGCCCTTAACTAGGGACAAGACGCACTTAGAGACAAGGGTGAAAATCAAAGCAGGGAAGACTTTATTCACAGTTAATCTAGAACACTTTTGTCTCTGGCTCCTTCCACTGCTATCATGTGACCCCTGACAGATTTCCTACATGGGAATGTGGTCCCTCACAGGGAAAAATGGTTGCCCATCTCTGTGCTAGTTACACACACACACACACACACATTTTGGGAAAGCATTCTAGTGATTTCCCAGGACAGGTAATTAAATACATGGACTATTCCTTGGAGCATTTGGACAAGGAGGTGTCATTACTGGAAGCCTTAAGCCGCTGGTCCTGGTATGTAGTGTGTTTAAAGAGAGAGGCTTAAAAATAAGGTTGGATTCTGAAAAATGGACCAGATTTGAATGTGCGTACATGGTGATGACTATTTTGGTGTGAACCATCTCTTTCCTACTTTACTATTTGCAGTACTTGGCTTTGATCTTGCAGGCATGAGATCATTCTCTGTCCACCCGAAGCCTTCTAGGTGTTAGGATCATTCATCAGTAGAAAAAACATGCACAAATCCCTCTAAATCTTTGACAAACTTGCAGTAAAAGCAAACAGCAGAGTTATCTAGGATTACAGTAGTTAAAGTTTAATGTGTTCCCTGGTTTTACAGCAATTCTCAGGCTGGAAGGATCTTCAGTTTGGGCCATAAATCAGTCTTCAAGATGTATAATAAAGCAGACCCTTGGTTGTGTGTACTCTAATAAAGATAATAAACATTCTTCTCCCCTCAAAAAAGCAGAAAAGTAATTGCATGAATTGTGTATTTTGCATCTATTGTACAATTTACATCTTCCACGGAAGATCAGAGCTAATCAAAGCTCATTTCCACTGAATCTGTTTAAAAATAAACAAATCTTGTATGTGGAAAGCTAGCATGCCAATAAGAAGATTGTGAGTCTACAGGAAAAGTCTGGCTCTTTCTCTTTCTGTATATTTGAAGGGATTTTGGAGGGAGAAAGAGAAATTCTAAGGGCTCTAATCTTTCTCCATTACCACTACATGCATGGCTTAATACAAAAATAGTATCTAGGTGACTTCAAACAGATTAAAAATGCAGAGTTTAAAACACAGCAATTGAGAGCGGGGTCTTGTCACCTGGGCAGCCTAGGACCTCCATGCACACTGCCCAGGTCTGGACTGTATCAGCAACTGCTAGAGACCAAAAGGGACTGCTTCCCACCTCCCATATCAAAATAACTAAAATTAATACATTTGTCTGCAGTGGTCGAGGGACACAGGTGGGTTAAACCACAGAGCTGTGGGTTAAACCACAGAGCCTAGGACTTGCCGATCAGAAGGTCGGTGGTTCGAATCCCCGCGACGGGGTGAGCTCCCATTGCTCGGTCCCTGCTCCTGCCAACCTAGCAGTTCGAAAGCACGTCAAAGTGCAAGTAGATAAATAGGTACCACTCCAGTGGGAAGGCAAACGGTGTTTCCGTGCGCTGCTCTGGTTCGCCAGAAGTGGCTTAGTCATGCTGGTCACATGACTCGGAAGCTGTACACCGGCTCCCTTGGCCAATAAAGCGAGATGAGCGCCGCAACCCCAGAGTCGGCCACGACTGGACCTAATGGTCAGGGGTCCCTTTACCCTTTACCTGCAGTGGTCAGGATGCTGGACCAGGAATACAGAGACCCAGATTCAAATCCTCACTCAGCCCTGCAGCTCCCTGGGAAACCATGAGCCAAGAAATGCCTACAACTGGTTTCTCCTGCTAAGGATACATGCCCAAGCACTTCCCCATCATCTCAGACGACTATCCATTGATGGAGGCTTGATTTTGTCCCCTGTAAGTTCTATTAACTGACAGTGCAATTGCTAGGCTGGACACTTACATAACCCTGAAAAAGGCTTTGCCTAAATTGCTTTGATCTATAAAATCTTATGCAGCTCAGGGCCCCAATACCTCAAAGGCTGCTCTCCCCACATGAACTAGCCTTCACCCTATGTTCACCATCTGAGATCCTGCTCAGTGTGCCATCTCCAAGGGAGGCAAAGAGGGAATGGCAAAATGAGAATGGGCCTTATGGAATGCTGTCTTGAGGGAACTGCATCTGGCACCATCACTGGCTAGTGTTAGGCACCAAGCAAAAACATTTTTCAGCCAACCTTTGGCCTTGAACTTGGAGAATTTTAGATATTGTGGCCTTCTTTAGTAGATGGGATGTGTTAGGCCGCCTTTCATATGTGTATGTTTCTAGCTTTTATTTTGCTTTAGTTTTACACTGGTTTTAATTTTTAAATATATTGTAAGTTGCTTTGAGGTTACTTTTCATTAAAATAAAGTGACTAGCCAGTGTGAACAACAACATCATAATATGCTAGTTTGGAACTAATGACCCTGGTTTAAATAAAAATACAATACATCTCACCATAGTGGGTGATTTCAGTCCAAGATACCTCAGCAAGCTGCCTGATACCTAATATCCCTGCTCAATCTCTAAGATGGGAGTCATTGCTAGGGGTCTCCCATGGTTCGGATGCATGCCTCATGTCCAGTTGGAGACATGCATTCAGTACTGTGGGTCCAGTTTTTTGGAACTCCCTTCCAGTTCAGGCCAGAAAAGTCCCCTCCCTGTTGAACTTCTGGTGCTTAATGAATATTTCTTTTATTCAATCAGACTTCTTAACTGAATTCTGATTTTATAGTTTTAACTCATACTTTACTGTTATTCTTGTGGGTTTCTTGTACACCACTTAGAGAGATGACTGTGGTTAAGCGGCATACAAATCGTTGAAATAAAATGAGCAATGTAACAAGGAATTTGCTTCTGGATTTCTCAGAAACAAGGACCAGAAAAGAGGAACAGATGGAAGGCATTGTCTCACAAGGATGCTAGTGTTTTCTGGATTATTTCTCCATGCCAGGTAAACAGTAAAAATGACAGATGCCTGAAGGTAAACCAATGATATATTCTAGGGATATTTAGGATTAGCTCTAAAAACAAGTGTAATTGGGGAAGGGCTCTTCTTTCTTTCTTTTTTAAAAAAGAATCCCTTGAAAGAGGATACACTATTAGAATAATAGACTTATAGAATTGCAGAGTTGGAAGGGACCGTCTAGCCCAGTCCCCTGCAATGGATGAATATGTAGCTGGCCCACACAGGGATTAAACCCACAACCTTGGTTCTATCAGCACCATGTTCTAACCAACTGGGCTGGTATCTGAAGAAGTGTGCATGCACACAAAAGCTTATACCAGGAACAAACTTAACTGGTCTCTAAGGTGCTACTGGACAATTGTTTTATTTTATTTTTTATTTTGACTGTGTCAGACCAACACGGCTACCTACCTGAATCTACAACTGAGCTAAGCAATTGAATAGCACTGCTAGATAATAATAAAAAAATGTTATCATTGAGGTTAAGTTCGTGGGATGTTAGGGTTGTGAATGTATCTATCCAGGAGTTTTCTCATCCTTCTAATATACCGGGATTTGATGATTGTTGCATGGGGGCTGGGGATCTCCAATGCATAAAACATGTGGTCATCAGGACCATAATTTGTTGGTCCGTCTAGCTCAGAGTTATCTGCACTGACTGGCAGCAACTACCCAGGGCTTCGGACAGTAGACTTCTCAACCATACCTGGAGATACTGTGAGTTCAGCCTGGAACCTCCTGCATGCAACCTATGCAGTCTACTGCAGAGCTATGTCCCACTCCCAATTTCTTCATCAAGATTTCTGATTTATGGTTTCTAAGGTGTGTATGAAGGTCTGTCATTGTTCCCCCCTCCCCCAATGAATTGGAGGTGGCATTTGTGGTATCAGCATTTAGCAACATATATCTAGTGAGAACACTAGTTTTTCCATGGTCACACTTGTTTCTGACCCTTTGGGGGGGCACGTTACCTTCACAACACAGCAGTTTCTCCCTTCCCACCCACAATGGGCTCAATGGGGAGCCTATTACCCAACCATTTCCAGAAATTTCATATGAACTTCATTAAGTCAATTACAGGGTGAACACATCACCGTTTCGCTGCAATTAGTATCAAAATGCTTCACTTTCCCTAATATAAAGGAGCAGATGCAGACGCAGACGGAGCACCGTGTTTTCGTGAAATATATCTCGGCTCACATATTAAATCTCGCAGCCAAGCTTGGGGGGGGGGAGCCTCTCCAGACCCTGCAAATGTTGGAACAGATGTAGACTGATGATACCCATTTAAGCAGGTTGGATGATGCTCTGCAAGTATTTAAGGAAAGGTGCCCTAATTATAAGTAAAGTCCACCCAATGAGTGGGTAAGAAAGGGACAGCTTTGCCACTAGTTGGATGGGGTAGTGAAACCATATTGTGCTGCCATTTTGCAGTAGGAAAGGTGAGCATTGGGGAGAGACCATGGTTCAGTGGTGGCCAAAAACAGGCTTTGCTCATGGAAAGTCTCCAGTTAATAACATAACAGCATAAGAGTCTTGACAAATCAGGTCAAATGCTGATCAAGCCAAGCATTCCCATAGATGGATGCCTATGGGAAAGAAGGCAATCAGGGTGTGAATTCAACAACACTCTCTCCAGTTGAGATTCCCAGCAGACCAAGAACATAAGAAGATTGTGTCTGCTGGCTCTGGCCAATGCCCACCTAGTCCAGCATCCTGTTCTTACAGTGGCCATCCACATGCCCCAAAGGGAAGCCCACAAACAGAATTTGAGGGCAACAGCAACCCTTCCCAGTTGTGAGTCCCATCAATGGATATTCAGCAGCATATTGCCTCCAATAATGGAGAGAGAACATAGCCTTAGGAGACAATGAAATATCGAAACTGTAGGTGTTTTGTATTAAATGCATTACATCAAATGTGTCAAACTATTTAATAAGCAGCTTTCAATTAATTGGTTGTATTTAAGGTCTTTGGTGTTGACTAACGATGGCTGCCATGTCTTGTTTTCATCTTGCAAGATTTCCAGATATTGGCCTGGATAGAGTTACCCCCAGTAAGCAAAAGAGCTATTGAGAATTTTTTTTAATTTTTTTTTACCAGCACTGAAACTACTAATGCAAATTGCTGGTAAACAGTGATTGCATCATGAATACTGCAATCGTCTGTAACCTAGCAGAATGGATGGTTTAATAAGAATATACCCATGAAGATATGAGCACTTTGACTGGAATAAGGAAGTGTTTTTCTTGCTAGACTGAGAGGAACCTGTTTAAAGACCAAAGCCAAGTGTGTGTGTGTGTGTGTGTGTGTGTGTGTGTGTGTGTGTGTAATCTGATAAAGGAGAAAAATGATCTATTGCCTACTGATGAATGGGTTTAATTATTAGTTGTATATATTTAATGGCATGTTATTTCAATGCTTTCATAATTTGGATTCTGTTGTATTTGCATGAAGTGAGATAAGGAGGATAATAGATTTTAAAATGTTTTAAAATCAAAACCTATTATTTTTGCAAATATAATTGACTTTAAATATCTCTCTCCCCCCCCCCCTCTCTCTCTCTGTAGATAAATGATAGATTTCATCTGGGGAAATTCTACCTCTGGCACCATACCCTAAAGAATATCATTTTCTGCAATTGCCTCTGTACTATGGAATGCCCTCCTTCCCTCTGCCATATGTGTAGCAGGCATCCATCATTTGCTTTGGACATCTTGTAAAGAGATATCTTTTTTGCCCAGGCTTTCTCTGATCCTGTTTTTATCTGTCTGGATTCCCCGAATTCCTGTTTTTATTTGCTTTTGTATGCTTTATGCTACTGTTTTACTGGTTTTATATTGCATTTCTGTTTTAATGATATGGTTTATTGTCTTATGTTGTAAACCACATGGAGATTTCTTAAAATATTAAGTGGTTTTACAAATGCTTTTAAATAAATTAGATGGAGCGATGATACATAGACATTTAGGGAGTTAGTTGTTTCCTTGCGGTTTAATGGTAACTTTTTATGTTGTTTTATAATAGCGGTTCATTGAACTGCTTTCTTGCGCATTGCCTGGAGCAGCTGAATTTGCCTTATGTTTATCTACAAATAAATGATTTTGCTAAATAAAATTGCAAAGCACCCTCGCAAGGGCAGATTCTGCTGACCTCCACCCAGCTGTATTCTCTGCAGTGGAGAGGACAGTTTGTTTTTCTATGATATGAAAACTGAGAATCATGAGCAGCCAATCACACATCTACGACTGCAATGGGAAGAACACAAAACAGAGCCTGCAAAACTTTGAAAGGGCGGTTTAAGGTGCTTTTGGTCATCCAGACAAAGATGACCCACTGCGCTTCCTTGCTCAAAGCCAGAGCTTCTGTTAATACTATTAGAGCCAAAGTTTCGGATTTCAGATGAGGCATGTTGGCAATTACAGATGCCCTTGAGAATGTGGGTCAAGTATTCAGGGCTCCAGTTTCATGGTCAAGGGGATCACAAGAGACAGAGACCTAAGAAGAACAGGAAGATCTCTTCAATGACCAAATATCTACACAGAGGGCAAGGAAAACGATGATGGAGGAGAAACAACATATTTAAACTTGGCTTCTGGTCTGGCAAATGGGACACATCTCTATTAAACAAGATTACACACAACTTGCTGGACCAGGCCAAGGTGGGTGGGTGCAGACCAGCTATGACATGTTCCTGGTCTAAGCCATCTTGGTGGGATTTATCTCCTGGGAGGTGGGATGTGGAGGATTGTACTGAATACATAAATGAACAGAGCTTGCTTCCCACAGTAGCCAACCAAATTCCTCTGTGATGCTTTCAAGCAGGGCAGTGGAATGTATGAATCAGTTGATTTCAGTTTCTCCCTGTTTTCATGCTTTCCCACCTTAACTTTGTAATAAGAATTGTAAGGTCTTATATATATAATAAATGTTCATAAATGTACCAAGCAAACATGTACATAAATATATAAACCACATTTCTGAAGAAGCACAGGAAAACAGGCATTATCAGATAACCTGGCAGACAGGAAAAACAACAACATTCAAATTTCTGTTGTAGACCGCCTTTTCTGTGACGTAGGTAGGATGTTTGTGGGGGTGGTCTTGGGCTACACCCCTTCTTGTGATGTATGTATGATGTATGGAGGGGTGGTCTTGAGCTCTGGGGCAGGGAATTTCAAAATGGCTATATAAGGGCAAGCACATATGGTTCGTGGTCCTCCTCCTCTCTCCTGCGTGTGAGGGGAGCACCCTGTTGCAACGGTTTAATAAAGATCAGGCTTACTAGCTGCTTTGCTTCTCAGTATTCTCTGGTAGGCCTCTGTTATTTTCTCCTACCGATGGAGAACCCACAAAGGACTCTATAAGGGCTCTTGTGTACCCCATAAGGAAATAAGGGCAGATTTTGTTTACAACAACTTCACCCTATTTCTACATCAATTGTTTTGAATTTCCAGTTAAAAAAGAAAAATCTACACAAGAATGTGCATACATTTCCACAGTGCTTTCCCCCCCTAAAAATATGTTTAGGGGTACTCTTTTTGACTCAAGAAAACCACCATTTTATAGTTCAAAACAGGGAAAATAAAAACAGTAAATGGACAAAAATACAAAGATTCACCAAATGTTTAGGAATATGCGTACCCCTGCGCCCCCAAAAAAGCACTGCATTTCTGTGTATGTTTCTCCTAATATTTGCTTTTTCATTCCCCGCCCTGATGTCCCAATTTGCCCTAATATAATGCAGTTTTATACATTCTTTTTACAAAAATGTGGACTTTTGTGCACATTTTTTCGGTTAGAGAACAGGATGTGGAGAAGTGCAAAGTACAAAGTATTTGCACTTCTCAGTTCAGTAAGTGCAAATTAAGTAGGTTCACATTAGAACAAGAAATGGAAGTATTTCTTCTCCTAAACCTATTGCTCTCCAGTAAACTGGCATTCAGTGGCAAACTGCCTCTGAACAAACTAGATTCTACATTTGACTAATAAATAACTAATATCTATGCACAGATACCACCACCCCACCCCACCACAACCACCATACCTTTGCCTAATTCCCTTTGAAAAGTCATCTAAGCCAGGGCTGATGGAGACTTTGCCTGACCTACCTCTTGTCCAGACAAGGAAGTCCCATAGTCTGTTTGTGTTGTCAGTGAGCCTATGAACTACAACACGAATTTCTATTGGGTTTTTGAAGTCATATATTCATTAACTATGTCAACGTTTGCAATAGAAATGGGGGAGAATTTCAATTCATTTCACATTGAAAGAGGAACATGCCTAATCTGCACTTCCTGAAACAATGCGCGAGCCAAAAACATAGCCACTCTTAGAAATTGCTCCCATGTTAAGGTAGTGATGGCCACCAACTTGGAAGGCTTAAAAGAAGACAAATTCATGGAAGATAAGGCTACCAATGGCTACCAGCCAGTATGTCTCTGAATATCAGTTGCTGAGAATCCCATGCGGGAAGAGTGCTGTTGCTCTCACATCCCACTTGTGAGGTTCCTATTGGGGCATCTGGTCTGCCACTGTGAGAACAGGATGCTGGACTAGATGGGCCATTGGCCTGATCCATCAGGGTTTTTCTTACATTCTTAATCCAATTAAATAAATAAAATGTTTGCCACTGGCAGATCTTCAACATACAGAACCTTGCACTGCAAAAGCCCCTTGAATGGACACAAACCTTTGCTTCAACATCCCTCGCTTCATTCCTCCTCAGGGCTAGGGGCCATCTCACCCTCCAGTCACACAATGGCACCAAAGCCTCGTTTCATGTCTCCGCTTTCAGAGAAGAAGGAAAAAGGAGAAAAAACAAGCTTTGTTTGGTTTCTGCCTTTCATTTTGACTGTGTTCCCCCTTTTCATTTGGAGCGCTTTTACAATCTTCTCGCTTAACGTCCCGCTTGACAACTGACTCCCCCTGTCTCTGTCTCTCTCTGTGTGTTTGAGAGAGAGAGAGATGAAGAAACATATTTTATTTACTGCCTCCTATAAATTATTTACTAGTAAGGCTGAGGTAATTCCATTAAAGCTGCATGGTTTGTTTAGACTAAATAGTTACCTGGGGACTCTTTTGCTGCTATAAAGACACATGATTACAGGAGGGAATGGAGAGGGTGGCAGACGGATGGGGGGGGGCAACAGTTCAGAAGGAGATGTAAAGAAATGAGCTTTAGAGAACTGGACAGAAGGAAGGGGGACCAAAGGATGTTTTGCTCTCTCTCAGTTTATAAGGCCAATGGCTCCAACAGGATTTCTTATTCCCTCATGGCCTATCTAAGAACCAAGCAGATTTCTGGCCTCCTCACGTAGAACAGAGCATGGCCTACTCTTCAAAATAGTGACCTTGTTGGCTCCCATGACAACCTGGCCTCACCTGCCTGTCCCTCCCCCCAGTCCACACTAAGTACGTTAGGTACGCAGCCTCTCATCTCTGCCACCTATGTTTTGACTCTGTATTTATTTTTATTTGTATGAATATTGAAAGAAACCCACCCACTCCCCATATAAAAGGCCAGGACACTGTACTACCAAATTGACAAGTACAATCAGTGCTTTTTTTCTGGGGGTATGAAGTATCAGCACTTTCGCCCCCCCCCCCCAAATGTTAAAAGTGTGGCACTTACCGTAACAACTTCATGGAGAGTACCAGCACCTTTTTTCCTATTTTTTAAAAAAGCACTGAGTACAATAAAACATAAAACACCATTAAAACCCGTACAAAATAATAATACATTAGACTGACTCATTATGAAGAACTGTAAACAATTGAATAGGCTTGTCAGAGTAAAATGGGTAAATTCTAGTGCTGTGTCAAAACCTGTCCCTTAATTACTCAAATGCTTTATTCTCCTGTGAAAGAAGCTTCTATTTTTCTGCCTGTTTCTCAGGGCAATTAGAATTTCTCTAGACAGTTAGTGAGTGCAGAGTTGAGCTTATCTTCTTGTTATGAGGTGGCTACAGATGGGTGAGAGGGTGTTTCTTCAGGAACATTTCTCCAGAACTCTGCCTCCCCTTTCTGATTTAAAAACCCTCATAGGACAATATTACCTCATGGAATCTTCCCAGAAAGTTTAATCTAAGCACAGCCAGCCAGGGAGGCAGATTACCGAGCACCTCAGAGCGGTGCAGTTGCTGATTTTGTTTTTAAGTGAAACTCTTCCTTTCACCCTTAAAAAAAATAAAAATCTTTCTGTGATGATTTATATAGAAGTAAAAAGACATCCCTTGGGGAGGGGGCGAACAGCTGTCAGTCACACAGCAGGCAGCCTCCCCACCTACCTGGCCTTACAGGAAAGCCCAGCTGTTTTCAGGCAGCACAGGCACCCAGGGAGGCTGCGAAATGCAGAGCACTGAAAGAGAATTACAGAATGAAAGAAAAGACACTCACAAACACACTTTATACATAATGCATGCGCAGCAAAATCCTTGCACCCTACCCAAGAGAATTTCCTAAACAGGAAGCTTCCACACTGCCACATTTTGTTGCATTCCCAAGTTTTGTGTGTGTGTAAGGGAGAGAAAGAGAAGGAATTCACCAACTTTTAAAGAAAGTATCAAAAACCCGTAAGTCTTCCCTGGCTTCTAGTAGAAGGTGCTTTTGCGTGTTCAGACCCAGAGACCTCCCCCCTAAATAAATTCACACTTGACTCAAATTTTAGTTTTGGTTTTTGGCAGAATTTAGGCCACAACTTATAAATAAATAATGATTTTATTGCATTAGCCATGCGGCCATAGCATAATATACATAGAAATAACAACATAAAATGGGGGTGGGGAGATAAAAGTGTATGCCGTTCTGGGCGAATACTTTTGAGAAAATGGGGATAACAAAGGTAAACGGGAGATTTAAAACATTGAGTGACAGAGAATACAAAAAACAGGTTCGATTGTGCGGCGTATCGACTACATCTGTGGTATTGAGGAAGGAGTTGGTGCCGCTTTCCTCTTCATCACACTAAGCAGGAAATTAGCTGTCATCTCGGTAATCCAACGGTCAGAATCCTGCAGAAGAAGGGACACTATCCAAGGCTGGATTGGGAGATGAAGCTTGTTCACGAGAGGAGTTAGGAACCGAGATCTTTCATCTGTCCAGTTGGGACAGAAGAGCATTACATGTTCCATAGTCTCCAGAACCGTGTCGTTGCAGGAGCATGTTCTATTTGCACTGGGAACTCTGGAGTAACGACCTGACAGAACTGCTGTAGGAAAACAGTTGAGGCGGGCACAGGTAAAGGCCCTTCGTTTAGCCTCTGAAGGAATTGTAAAGCAGTATAGAGGGATCCCTTCAGGGGGTGGAATAGCTAGGGCTAAGCCTGAACACGGCCCTCTTGCATGGGAAGCTGTGTTAGAGAAGTCAAGTTGCTGCAGCTTCTTTTTGATTAGAGGTAGGGCTGCCGGGCTTATACACTCTAAATTAAAAACAGTTTTGCGGTTCAAATTGAGAAGAGAGCGGAATTTGAGATTAATTGTAGTTTTCCAAGGAGAATTATGAATATCTCTTAGGATCAGATTGGAGAAACCACCTCTAATTCGAGCATCCGATGGTAGTAGGTGGGAGCTGTAGGAAATGGCTCGACTCCATGCTCGTTTTACAATTGAGGGCTGGGCGAACTCAAGACGTAAGGCTGCACCTGAGACACATCTTGGGACGCCGGAAAGAGATCTCAGAAACATGTGAAGTGGGCGATCCAAGTTACCTGATATTGCTGTAGTCCATACTTTGCAGCCATATAATAGTTTAGGGACAACTTTGGCATTAAACATTTGAATTGCTGCTGGAAGGTGTTTGCCGCCCTTCTGGTGATAAAATCGGACAATGGCATTAGAGGTTGTAGTTGCAGCAAGAGAGGCAGATTGTAGATGGGTGGTCCAGGAGAGATTATAAGTAAATATTAAGCCTAGATATTTAAAGGCTTTTACCTTTTCTAAGTAGCCACCTGTGATCTTAAGCGGCTCCAGCTTGAGTTTGCGGGAACGAGTGAAGTGGAGAACTTTCGATTTTTTATAATTAATATTAAGAGCTTCCACCTTACAATAGGCGATAAATGCATTAACTG